ATTCTATATCCATAACATAACCCTCTTTATGCCATTATACATGTATATAGCGTGTTCAATTGATAAAAATGATATTGAGGTTTTTGCCATATATTACTGAACACAGCTGGCTCAAAAGCCAGCTGAGGGAATGTTGAAATATACCGTCTTGTGAAGTGGTTTTCTCCAACTTCCAGCAGGCGCGCTGGAATAAGTTAACAGTATTTAAGAAGATAATTGAATGTAACTTGCCCTTTTCATGACGCGTGGTGACAATAAGGCCTACTTATTGTGTAATTTGAAATGAAAGTGGAGAAATTCCAGACCAGGTGCGCACCATTTTTTAACTTTTGCGCATGCGTGCATATGCGCATTGTACTTTACATGCGCATGGCATTGCCGCTAAAAAATCACTATTCATATTAAGCTAGCGTGAGCTATTTTGTAGCAAATCTTTACTTTCGAAAGTCAAGAGATCTCGCAAGACCTAAAATGGATGCAATCTAAATTCAAAAGTTTTGTTGTCTAATAGAACATTGATTTACTACAACAACAGACTATTGAAGGATCAAAATAAGGTAACAACAAATAAATTATGTATTTGATTCAAATATATAGTGTATTATAAACGCCACTCAGCACAGCGTAAGTCAAAATGGGCTCGATTTTTTTCTCTTCAACGATTTTCAATCTAACATCCCAGAGCTGACTCGATAGAGTAAGCCATATACCGGTACATCCCATATACTTCCGTCCCTGGATTTTGTGAACCTTTATTGTATTTTGTCTGGTATAATTTTGTAATTTGCTTCAATCTCTCCGAAAGATATTGTATCATCCATTTTGATGCCAAGTGGAGTTTCAGAGAGATGAAGTTGGTAAGATATATCCCATATCCTGATTTTGAGGTTTCCATATCTCTCACCTCATCTCCCGCTCCAAGGCATATCTTCCGCTTTGAAAAATTTTGAAAAAAGATTTTGAAAACAATTATAAAAATTTGAAAAAATGTTGAAAAAAAATTATGAAAAATAGAAAACTCCACTGGGTTTAGGATAAAGCAGTTATGTACAGTCGGTTTGGATATGGGGTTTATCCCCCGTGAGATATGCACATCTACCTTCGGTCCCGACGGTCCCTCAGGTATGCATATATTAGGTATACATATATCCATATCCACATATACCCCATATGCAAAATCTCCCAGTATATAACCCTTATTTATCCCATACTTGAACGTGTTTGTTGTACACAAAGCAGGATTGTAAATGGCTGTATTTTCATCAGCAAGCAGGATATAGCTTTGTATCCCATACCTAATGAGGTTCTAAGTAAATAACGAGCGGGAATATAGTGTCAATCTAGGGAGCTATCGCCAAGGACCGTGACGGATACATGCTGTATCCATCCTGGTCCCACTCCTTAAAAGCGAACTCAATTTACGTTTGACTTAGTTTACGAAATAAAGATTATCAAACTTATGGTGTTTATCTTGAACATCAATTCATTGATCTACTCCAGCAGTATATGAGTGTGAAAATCTCACAAACTTAAAAACTTTTATTTTTAGACTAAGATTGGGATTTTTGAATGAGATACACATATTTCCCAAGGGATATACGCTGTATCCAAAACCTCCCAGTACATAACCCTTATACATCCTGGCTAAGTGGGCAGATATTTACATATGCTCACTGATGTCCATAATCGTAGATCGCATGTTGGTGCACTTTTGTGCCCTTTACATAATTACTGTGAACGGCAATGGCTAAAACAAAACTTTCTGAATTCAGGCCTTCAAACAATTGTGAATAATGAGCATATGAGATAAACACTAATCAGTTGAGGATTGGGATTATCCCTTGGCCAATATTATATATTTCAGGATGATATTTGCATGGAAGTTTCACTCCAATATACCAAATGTAATAATGAAAACACAGAATGAAATTTAATAACAGTGAAACTGTGACTTCTCAAAATTAATTCGCGAAATTAAAACTCGCGAAATTAACTGGGAGTACAAAGTACATGCAGTATGTGTGAAAATTGAAATTGGCTTGCGAAAAATATCAGTTTGAGTTATCTGCAATAAGAACCCAAAAACCAAACCAAAATACAGTAGAACCAAAATAAAAATAAAGATTACCTGATCATCTTTAAAGAGTTTCTGGTCTTCTGGATTAACTTTAGTTATTCCTTCAATAATTCTTTTAAGTTCCAATACTCCTGTTGATTCTTTGGCATCTGTGAAAATTGTTTGCTTTTTTCTTCTGATCATTAAAAAGACATCCTGCAATAGAGAATATAAGACTGAAGTATAAATGTGAAAACTATTTTACTTGCAAAACTGTGTGATGTCTGGCCATTGCCAAATAGTATACCCTCTGGAAAGAAAAAAAGGCGAAATTGTCTTTTACCAATCATATCTTTTTTATTTTTCAAGTTAGAAAGGATTGAACAAAACGACTCCCAAAATTGTGAGTGTGACTTTTTACCATAAATTGACGTCATATGTAAATTTGAGAAATCCCAAATTCAGCGATATGGTCAAGAAGGGGTTCTTCTGATACATGAAGTTAAATTGTTAGTTACGTTCAGAAGAATACACCATTTTAGAAAGTTTTCAATCATATAAAACTTTGTGAAAAGTATCAGATATATAATGAATGTCCAATTAATTACAACCATTTTGTGATAAAATTTGGAGTAATATCTTTCAGATTCAGAGGTCTCTTCTCAGTTCAAAATTAAGGGTAGAGGTAACATATATTACAATAAACTGGAAATTGTAAGATAATCTTTTCTCAATGACCCATAAATATGTTACACATCCTATACTTAGCTTATGCATACCAAAATTTATGTCAGATGTGATATATGTGTTTATTGAGCAAAATGGTTACATCCTATCCTTAATTTCACTGCTATTTGGCTATTTTTGAGTGCATATGTTTTACCAATTGCATTACCTCCAGGAAAAGCACTCCTAGAGATGATAAAATAATTTCGACTGTGAGACAGGGAAGATGCAAACAACCCACCCACATGTTTTTCTGAAATATTTTCCTGATTTTCAACCCCTTCCAACTATGCTTTTTTAATTTTTCTTGCATCAACATGTTGTGTTTTGACACACAGTTAACCTCTTTAAAGAAATGAGTGATTCCTCTTAGATAAAGTGGAAAACAATATTTCCCATGTTATTTTCCCATAGGGAAAACTCATGCAATCCATTGCTTTCAGCTAAATTTGGTCACCCATAATAGATATCTTTAAAAACCCCGAAGGATATCAAACAGGCAGGAAACCTTTAAAACATGTTGAAATATGATTCCATGTTCTAATGTAGATATAGAATGTCACTCAACTTTTTGAAGTCATGTCTGCACTTCTCAGTTCAAAATCAACTTCTGTACCAATTTGACACCACACTCTAATTTGCCTTGACTGGCATTTTATTGTTTCTCAAAACATCATTCAGAATCACAAAATTGTATGCAGCTTCATTTTAGAGTATGAATGATACATTTCTCACGAATTTGAGTGCAAGGGCATTCTCTGTCAATTGTGGTTCGATTTTTATGTAAGTGCTCGGGAGTGAATCAAAATCAGGAAATTAGGGTGATAAGCAGGGAAATTTTGTAGGCAATTTCAGTCACAAAAAATAATGAGTGACAACTTACACTTTCCTCAAGTGTAGTCTTCGTAAATCGTAATCACGTTCAAAACTATAATGATTAGTGGTGGGACTCGCCACCAAAATCTCTACTCGAGTAGAATGATAAATTTGACGATCGAGTAGATGATTTTGGCGATTATCTTTTTAAAAAATTGAGAAAATTAGAATCTGGAAAATCAAGGCATTTGTCACTACTTACATCGACTTTTGGTTTAATGACCACTCAATGATGTAGTTCTGAACGGATTGAGTTCTGTTTTGGATGTTTTAGACGCACATTTACCATATATTAGCCATGATATAAGCCTTTTATGGATTTTTTCGACTTTGAAATTCCCACTTCCATCAAAATACAATATGCGCATGCGATATTCAGGATATAAACAACATAAAAAGCAATGAATACGATTCTCATACTTTTTCTCATCAACTGACCATTAAATCAACAAAACAATCTGCAGAATGTAGTCAGAAGTATGTAATTTATAAGAAAAACGTAAAAGCAGCTACAATCCTTGCTTAAATCATAAGTATGGAGGGTAAATCGCGATTTTTCTCAGAAATTTTCAGGATCATGATTTTCAAATTTTCAATCGATTGATCATTTTTCTAGGCTCAATCGAGTTCTAGTCGATTACCCGAGTCACTCGTTACACCACAGTTTCACTGTTAAATTATAATTTATATGGGCTTATTAGCCTTTTGCAGATTATTGACATAGACACTAAAAATGATGTCATGATCTACTACGTAGTCTAAGGCTCTTGACACAAGTCAGTTCAAATTTAATACTGGACCAATGTTTTTCGTCATTAAATATCCTTGAGGTTGCAATTTGATAAGATTTCTCAATTCAATTTCATGATTTGGGTGAACTTCCCAGTCAGTGCTTGGTTACAAATAATTCAAAAAGTAAACATGACTTTTATCACTCATTATATTGCGTTTCGCCGAATAATTTTTAACACTGTATTGAAAGAAATTGTAGAACAGTGCATTAGATTTGTCAAATTTGAGATCTAAGTAGTATTTATCGAGAAAATTGTGAAAAAGGAGAAGAATAATAACACTCACCATTCTGATTTCCTAGTGTGTCAAACGCCGAAATGTCATTGGTTGAAATCAGTCACGTGACATAAAAATGGGTACTTGCATGATTTGCGACATGTTGACCTATCTGTTCGTAAACAAAAAACAATAGCTTAATTAATAGCAAAATATTCGGTATCAACCAATTTTTACTATTCAGTAAAGTACGAATTTATGAAAGCCTTGATGCAGGGTTTTATAAATGTTTTACGACATACCAATTAACCCCCATATACCAAAAAGAGGTACCATTGAAGGTTTGGTTGGAGGCATTTTCAAACAGATTGGTTATTCTCTGTTTATGAAGTCCTTGGCTTTAGAATAATGCATTTGACATGAATTTACAATACTCCATGAGTACATTGACATATATATATATACTAGATATGAGTGGAACTACTATACAGCATCTTAAAAAAGTTATTTGTAAAAGTTTCAAACTTTGCTGAGAAATGACAAGTTGTTAGACCTTAGAGGCTTCTGTTAGGAAAATTCATTATCTAAATTATGGATGAGAAACCGTCATATTACTTCACCATGGAAGGTGATGTACAAAGTGAAACTCTGCAGTTCAAAAGACACGGCCAGAAAGTCTGGGATAAAAGAAAGAAGGAAAAGGATTCATATAGGTAAGTGTTATCCCTATAATGGCGTTGATTTTCAACCCCCACAACTACTTGCATTAAAATCTTGGAGTTTTAAAACGCTGTCAGCAGTTGACTCATAGCAGAATTTTATCAAAATAACCATTAATCCAGCCTATTTTCAACCCCAAGATTTCAGTAGTGGTTGGTTGTGGGTGTGATTTTGAAAAATCAACCCAACATTTACATGTTTAGGGATAGTGTTGAATTGATTGGCTTCTCCAAATTCAATAATTCATTCAGAAATGACAATCAGATGCATAAATGAGTGGGTGAGGGGGGGCTGTAGTTAGATTATGAGTGAAGTAAACTCTCAATCAAATGGGGGGGGGGGGGGTAATTGGGTTGGCATTGTATGTCAGTCAAACCTAAAAAGACCACAATGCAATATGAAACAAAGATTTATATTTTACATGCAAATCATTTGTATATCTTGGATTGCTTGTGTTTTAGCTCATAAAATGTGTTGCCTCTTGTATTTTGATGCTTCTCTGACAGATGTCATTTTTCCAAAACTGATTGTTTTATATGTCTCTGACTTAACATAACATCACAAAAAGTTGAAAAAATCTGGAAAATGTTATTTAATTCAATTCAATCAAAATATTTTGATTTTGACTATGCATGTTCAACAATGTGTGAATATTAAGATTGATAAATAATACATTTTCAAGTGGATGACACTCTATTGGGCATATTATTCACGGAGTTTGAAAATTAACATGGTAAATAAAAAATGTGTTAGTAACATCTTCAATTACCCAAATGCGAGTAGGTAGTTACCAGTTTCACCACCAGGTGGCTGATTCGGGTCAATTAACATGGCAGGTATATAAGAAAGTTCCCTTAAACTTGAATATTATCAATTTAAGTGGCTCAATTTTCATATAACCCTTATGTGTCTGATACTTATACTAATGAAAATATATCCAGTAAAGCAAAATATTATCTGTCCACTAAAAGAAAAGATATTTCATTTTTTGTGATTTTATAGCATGGGGTCTATGGGGAATCTCCCGAGCGAGAAGTTACATTTTCAAAGAAAATTAATTTTTCAAAGTTAATAAACACTTTTTAAAACCACATTTCTAGATATAATTTTACATGTAGATTTCAAATATGATATTACTTTGACTGAATTTTTAATGACGTAAATCAAGATTATTTCTACTCGCATCTGGGTTATTCAGCACCCCCTGCCCCCCCCACCTACCAGCATGGTTTAACAAGAAACATAGTCAACTGAGTTGCCAGTAAATGTCTTAGAGCAAAATATACAGAAAAGGTAAACATTTCATGTTGTTATCATGAAAATTACTTAAAGGCCCCAGCTAGGAAAAGTTCAAACTACTATATGGCTTATTTTGTAGTAAATTATCAAAATGTTATTCAAAAAGTTGCTTTTAGAGAACATTTTGTGAATTTATTTAAAATAGAATTTTTGTTACCACACCCATCTACACTGCATTAACCTCTTGACTACCTGAGTGACGAGATTTCTTGTCACCTCAGAAATGACCTTGAAACCCAGTATCAAAAATGTTTTCACTAAAATTGCTCTTTTGAACAATTTTCATCTAAATTACACAAGAATTGTTTTAAAATGTGTAGAAATGATCTCTGCCATCTAGTTTTACTAAGTTGAGCATCTAAAGTTGTATAGGTATGTAGTTAAATGTAAATGAAAAATTCCCTGGTTCCAACCAATTTTAGAGCCTGCCGGATTCAAGAGGTTAATGAGCATATATATATATAATTTATATTTCTTTTAATGACAATAATCCAAAATATAGTATTGCACCAATGCATACATGTACATCCTTATCTATGTGTTGAAAAATAAGATGATTGGTTGAAAATAAGAGATAAAACTAACACTTGCATAAAAATGTGGTTGAGATAAAAAATACATTAAAAATGTTTAGTTCTCATTGAAACCCATGGTACAGAAATATTTAAAACGCAATGATGACCTCTTTTAAGTAAGATAAGCCAACAATATAGCTTTAATTTGAAAGTTTAGCATAATTATCTAAAAAATAAGTTATAAAAATTTGACAAAAGCTAAATATAAATATGCACTCCTGACCAATGGAGTGGAGACCATTATGTTTCTAACAGTGTATAGTTCTATTGAGAAATCTAAACATTTATTGCTAAAAAGGTTGGAAATTAAAATATTGGAAAATTAAGAGACAAACAACTTATTTTTCAAAACAGTTTCTTGAACAATGATTTTTTCAATGTTTCAATGTAGAGATCACTTTCAAAAAAGTTGTTGGTTCTTTAATTTTCAAATATATTTCTAGCCATTTATAAACGCCTGTGTCACAAATATACTGCAATTTTAAATTTCACTTTATCCTTCTCAGTTTCTAAAGTAATTAAATAGCAAAGCTAGAAAGGGCACCTCAACATTTTTCTTAAGTCTTAAAAATAATTATTCAAAGTTGAATTTCAATGCGTGTCATTCCAAGTGTAATTTACATAGAAATTTTTTTCACGAATAAGAGTTTTATAAGGAGGAGCTTTTATGTTCTTAAATTTTTGAAGGTGAAGTCATTAAAAACTATATAAGAGCTCCTTGAGTAATAAAGTCATTATATTGGTGAATGTAGTTAAAACATACTTCTTTAGTATGATTTAAATTCTCCAATATGGTCCATCATTTACTTGGAGTTTCAAGTTACATTTGTTAATCCTACATCAATTTTTGTTTGCTTAGTGATTGTTTTAATAATGGATTTTCAAATTAATTCTCTGAAATATTTTATTCCATGAAAATTATTTTCTATGTATTATATTTATTTATCCAACAGACATTTCAATGGAAAATTGAGTGTCGTGAGAAATGTCTTTTGATTTTTCAATGACATCATTTTATTGAGCCATCTTTCTGTGGAAGCTGACATTAATGCTCTACATTCACATGCAGTAATATGTTTAAAGTAAGCACTGCCACGGGAGTTATTCATTTAAACTCCCTCAGTCACTGTTCCACAGCTGGATGACTCTAACTGCACTTAGCTTCATTCAAGATGGTTGTTGAAGTCTTTCGTTTTCGATAAACCTCCGATTTCAGCTAAACTAAGTTTAATCTGGATTCCTAATGTTTCACCATGCAAATTAATGAAGCTACAATGGTAAATAACAACAAATAAATGTTCAAACAACCACGATATTGGAGAATTTTAAAGAAAATGATTTCATTTTGACTTAGACTCCTGACTGAAGTTGATGATGATGTAGGTCATCAACTTCAGTAAGAGTCATTCTAAGAGAAGCCATTTTCTTTAAAATTCTCTAATATTGCAAGTGTTTGGGCATTCATTTGTGGTTGAATACAAAAGTAGTTTCATCAATTTGCATGGCGAAACTTTTGTAATTAAGATTCAACTTAGTTTAGCTGAAATCGGAGGTTTATCGAAAACGAAAGAATTTCGGCAACCATCCTGAATGAAGCCAGTGACTGAGGGAGTTTAAATGAATAACTCCCATGGCAGTGCTTACTTTAACATATTACTGCATGTGAATGTAGAGCATTAGTGTCAGCTTCCACAGAAAGATGTGGAACGGTGTCAGTTTCAACAGAAAGATGTGGAACAGTGTCAGCTTCCACAGAAAGATGTGGAACAGTGTCAGCTTCCACAGAAAGATGTGGAACAGTGTCAGCTTCCACAGAAAGATGTGGAACAGTGTCAGCTTCCACAGAAAGATGTGGAACAGTGTCAGCTTCCACAGAAAGATGTGGAACAGTGTCAGCTTCCACAGAAAGATGTGGAACAGTGTCAGCTTCCACAGAAAGATGTGGAACAGTGTCAGCTTTCACAGAAAGATGTGGAACAGTGTCAGCTTCCAAAGAAAGATGTGGAACAGTGTCAGCTTCCACAGAAAGATGTGGAACAGTGTCAGCTTCCACAGAAAGATGTGGAACAGTGTCAGCTTCCACAGAAAGATGTGGAACAGTGTCAGCTTTCACAGAAAGATGTGGAACAGTGTCAGCTTCCACAGAAAGATGTGGAACAGTGTCAGCTTCCACAGAAAGATGTGGAACCAGTGCTTTCAGTAGGCTTGTCCAAAAGTGCTTCCCTGGGACGGATTGATTTTCCAAAATTGCGTCCCCCCTCAAAAAAGTGCGTCCCTATGAAAAAAGGTTCCCGGGAATTCAAAGTCACATTTTTGCACTGAACGAAAAAAATTGATGAAACGTTTGCATCAGTTTTGTTATTTTTTGGCCCAGATCAGTTTTCTACACACGTCTAGTAGGTCATTAAATGATGCAGATACCTTCATTTGAAAGAGGTAACTAATATTCACCCATTAAATAGATCTACCATTTTTCTTCGCGTATTTCAAAGCAATTTGCTATTGATTTGATCGCTCAGAAAGTTTCATTAGGAGCAGTCTCCGTGAGGTTCCATTCTTTGGTTCAGTTTTTTTGCGCATGCGCAACAAATCCAGCAATTTGATTAGTTAAAATTATCAAGACGCATGCGCGATCAATAATCGCGGCCAATCATAGGACTCGTAACGATTACCGCTCGGAAATCAACTACAAGTGATTGTCCTATCACATACCTCATACTATATTGATCGGAAATCAACTTCCGGGAAAGAAACTCCGAAAGATAATTTTATTTCTTTTGGAAATAGAATATCCTTCGTTTATTTAGCTGATTTTGACCAAATAAAAGACTGAAGGTAAGATCTTTATCAATCCATTCATCCAGAGATGATTTTTTGATATGACCTGCACTGCGTCCAAGTGACCCCTCATTTTCATTGTTTGGGGTCCCTATAATAAAAACCGGGTCCTCTCCATTATGGGACGGCGTTAATGAAAGCACAGGGAACAGTGTCAGCTTCCACAGAAAGATGTGGAACAGTGTCAGCTTCCACAGAAAGATGTGGAACAGTGTCAGCTTCCACAGAAAGATGTGGAACAGTGTCAGCTTTCACAGAAAGATGTGGAACAGTGTCAGCTTCCACAGAAAGATGTGGAACAGTGTCAGCTTCCACAGAAAGATGTGGAACAGTGTCAGTGACTGTTCATTAAAAATCAATAAAATTGTAGACTGCCAATGACTTGAAGTTTAACATGTACAGATTCTAATATCCTCAAAAATAATTAATAAGTATTGACGTGCTAATTGGGATTTGGCCCTGAGTAAGTTGTTTGTTATAATGAATTGCTTTGAATTCAATGTAAGTTACAAGAATGGCCAGTCAATAGTCGTAACAAACATTCACCTCTGCACTTTGAATGCTTTTATTTACATAAAATCAAATTTCTCCAATTCAAGATTGAGTGTTCAGGTAAATATTGAAACGTTGGAATTCCTGATATTGGGAATCAGATGAAAACAAGATATTTAAAAACAATATTTACAGTTCAAAATAGCACAAAAGATAATCGTCAACCTTTCAGTTAAGACAGGTTTTCCAACAAGTTAAATTACTTTTTTAATAATCCCTTACAAAAATATATGTTTTTGAATTTTTCATAAAAGCTCAGACATGAAATTTTGAATTAAAGAACTTATAATTACATTTTGATATAGAATTTTTAATCGGGAGCAAAAGTAAAGCAATCAGAATCAAACTTTTTCATGATTTCAAAGAGCTTGCCACTAGAAGTATGATCTTTTATATTATGTAGTATTATAGTATGAACTCCAGAATTTATGTCATGTTACTATGGAATGAAGATGCAAACATATATTGTGCGATCCTGGGATATCATGTATACATTCCTCCTTCATTTTTTGACACTGATCATTTTTTTAATCTTGTCATAGATCAACACAAATATTTTTTGAACCACAGGCACTCCTTATTCATAAAAAAACTCACCTCAAGTATTTGATAGGATTAAGTTATGGTGAATATATTTCATCTATTTAATTGTTAGCTGTGTTTGGGATTGTGAACAAGTTGGCACAGTGCTTTATGAAATTGTTATCTATCCAGAAAGATAGTGCTTCGCTGTTGCACATCTGATATTTAATCCCATACTCATGTTGTTTGATTCATATGCACTAAAAAGGAAATTCGCAACGGAATATATGATAATTTGAACAGTTATAAGCTTATGTCTGGATTTAGATAAAGCTTGAGTGAAAATAATGTCTAAAAGATACAAGGTTTCTACATTTGCAAAGCGCTATGGTCAATTTTTAAAGAATGGGAGGTAAGATAGAATTATATAAATAAATATACACAATATTACAATAAAAATAAATCACATACAATAGAAATATACAATAAAGATTGAATGACATACAATACAGATAGAATTACAGAATAACTTTGATGGGAAAGTTCATCTCATCCTCGGTTGAACAGCATTTGATTTGGTTCTTCATTTGAAGATTTGCCATGTTATTCCTACGGAAAATTTAATATCTGGCCCTGGGGATGGTAGTTCAGTTCACTTCTTTGCTCAGTCTACATGAACAGCACATAGTATAGTATGGTATTGAATCATTCAATGAATTAACTTATTTTCTCCAAAGGCCTGACCCAGGACCTTCAATTTCAAGACTTTTCTCACAGTTGTGAACATTATTAATTTCTAGAGCTTAACATATAATCAATTTCAAAATAAAATCCCTATATATACGAGGGTTGTCCAAAAAGTTTTTGAATTTTTGCTCTCGTATCATCATTTTTTTATTCTTTTGGCATCATATTTCACATGAATGATCTTAGAACAATTTTGCAATTTCTTGCAATGACTGAGTTTCAATTTTGGACTAATGAACTGTTGCAGTATAACATCACAATGCTAAGTGTCATTATTTGAGCTAGGTGAACATCATGCTGAATAAATTTTCCAAAACATCTTGATAATTTAGAAGAAATAAATAAACAGAATAGCACTTCAGATCTTTTCATGATAAGAAAAAATTGTACTTGCCCCACCCATCCCTACCCCTACATTGCTATAGTAACTGTTTTAAGACTTAATTAACTGTATGATGCTGAAACGTCAGTATATAATGCACTTCAATTGTAGTACACAAAGTTTAAGCTGCATTGAGGAATATCCAAGAAGGTTAGAGCAAAATGTCAAGAATTTTTGGACAACCGTCATTTATTATGAAGACTATGAAACTCAATTAACAATTACAGAGATCGTTATCAGAGTTTTTTTCAAAGAGTTGAAGCAGTCTGGATCGCCTTCCATAGCTTTGGTATATTTGGGGATTGGTAAGAAATTAAGTTACAGTAGTTTGTTTCTGCATTGCAATTTTTCTTTTCAACTTTGGATTTATTTGTTTTCTACTTTGGATTTTCTCTTTTGTACTTTTTTCGAAGTTAGCTCCATAGATTAGATAGATTAGATATGAACATTAGCCTGTGCCAGTAGCAATCACTTTTTTGATGTGGAAACACAGAGGCTAGCATTAGTGAAGTTCTCTTAGGAATTGGAGTCAAACTTTTACAAAGGGCCCTTACATGTATACATGTTATAGTTTTTCATTGTACTTCTGGTTGTGAACATTCCTCAATGTGAACACATTTAGCTTACTTCATTAGGTCACTTTCTACAGGTTGTCTCTGTGCTTTTGAATTATTTACTTTTGAACAAATGAATTCATCATTTTATGTTCCTATTTTTCTTTTCATAAAGTCAACTCCACTGCATATCTTTTTTGGCAACATTAAACAGAAGACATATTTCCCTTACATATACCTATTACCTAAGGAGTGATTCACAAAGATAACATACATGTACATCAACTTTTGGATGAAATACAAATTTTTCCCTGTATAGTTAACCCTTTTATACACATTAAAATAGTCAATAAATTGAGTTATAACCACTGATTTTAACAAAATATGAATGGATTTGGTTTTTGTTGAGGAAATTGGACAGACTGCATATGAAAACAGTTAAAATGTTTTAAAGTACATGTGCTAGTTTATTTGCATGATATAATACTGTGTTAAAAGAAGGGAATAACTTTAGCAAAATATCATGCATTTTTGTTCTCATATGCCCTTTAATCCAATTAATTGTTTTAAATTGGTGTTATATAAAAATTATTTGCATTTCTACATACTGTATATAAATCGCTCAAAGTAAAAATGGGACTCGACTTTAATTCCTCCAAAATATGAACACTAAATATTAATGTAAACAAGATTGCTAAATGTTTGCCATTGGTATCATTTCAAATTATACATCAAGGATGAAGCTATATTTCATATTTGTAGAATGAGCTCTATAATACTGGGCCTTCAGTACCTTTCTTTCGAAATATTTACCAATAAAGATGTGAAAAGACATTGTTTGATTCCTGCAATACTTGACTTTATAGTATATCTCTGTGTAAACCCACCCCTTTGTCTATTCAAGATTCTATTCCTCTGGAGTTCTCCATGAGGGATGGGATGGGGGGTTCTTAACTGGGAACAAACTTCTAATTCCAAATTTTAATGGTGTGTACATGTTTTAAGGGGCAATACTTAGATTCTCCGTGATCCACTACCACTTAGTCATGTTAGTCTCTCTCAGTGATTAATATCCAAATTTGGCTATATAAATACAATAGACCACCAAGTAAGAAAATATATCAAGGTCATTCAAGTCATTGTACCTTTTGAAACATATGTTTCTGTGTCCTTGAAATTCTTGATTTTATTGCTTGTTTATTTTGTTAAAATTCTTTTTCTTGAGAAAATGTCATACATGTACATTTATTCCTAATATGATCATTATGTGTACTGATTTACCATTCAAACCTAATATTTTAACTTCTTAACCACAAGATTGAGACATTTCTGTTTTTTTAAAACTGATGCTAGATTTTTAAAACCGTAACTATGAAAATGTATAAATATACAAAAAATTATACAAGGTAATTTATTGAAAAAATCCTGAATTCACTTCCAAATTGTATATAGTCAATAAATCATACATATAATACGTAGTACCAATTAACCTTTTTCTATGACCTTATGATTTCATGACGAAGGCATTCATGATAGCATTTTAAAGAAAAGCTCTTTCCTAAAGGTTACTTTCAAATGAATAAATAACAATTTTATTAACATTTAACTTTTTATACTTTTTCAAGTACATAAATGTATTGCTGTCGTGAACAAAATTAAATATAAACATTTTTTATATCCTTACTGAGTTAGTTAAAGAGTTGAAACACACCATATGTCCATTAAAAGCTACTTTAAACTAAGTTATTTTAACTCTGCGAAGATGAAGGCTGAATTGTATAAAACTGAAATAAAAATATAACTTGAGGAAAAACATACACATACATGCACAAGAATATATCATACATGCATCTTTGTTTTGAAATCATCACATACAGAAAATGGAAGTTACATTGATAGATATCCCTATTTCCAGTTTTCCAGAGAATCTTTGGGATTTGTTTCGAAGCGTTCAACGCAATGATGTCAAAGCCATTGAAAGACTCACAGCCAAGGGGAAGATAGACCTGACACAGAGAGGTGAGTATTTGTATTTGTGTTGGAAACTAAAATGAGTTGCTAATCATAGTAACTACAACACATTCCATTTTGTTTAGTTTTGGAAGACTTCCTAACCTGATTGAGGAGTGCAAATGTGGGAGGGGCATAATACAGAGACTTTGTAAAACAGGAAATATTGGGTGTATGAGATGCAAATTGATTTGTAAATAAGACCAAGAATGCCAACTGCATGTGGTTTCCAATTGATCCTTTTAATTAGTTTCTGGTTTTAGTCTTATTAAGGATAGGAGGGAGATGCAATAAAGAGACTTTTAGGAATATTCACTTATCCGAATGCCTAATTTGTATAATTATGGCTTTTATTTGAATGACGTAACTTTGATCATTGACAAATCTCTGTCTTTGCCCATTGCCACATTTAAGACAAAGCAATGGTAGAGGATCTCGAAAACTCGGTGCAAGGGTACTTAGTATTTTTAGAGGAAATGATCATTAGAAATATTTTTAGAGGATTGTTAACTTGTAATTTGAATTTCATTGTAGCCTGTATATATTTGTATATAATGATCTGTCTTCTAATTCAGTTTTCAAGGCTTTGGGACTGTAATATACATGTACATGTATGTGGTTGAGGAGTTCACTAAAACTATTATTGTATAATTAATCACGATTCTAGAATTTAGAATTTCTTGAACCATTCTTTGTTATATTTTACTTTGAACTGCATAACCTTTCAGAATCGGTCTAACCTATTCTGTGATCTTTAGTTATATTATTTACACAATAACCTCTCTATTGAATGGTCAATATTTTCTTGAGATATTTTCTGGTTCAGGTTTTACTTGTTCTGTTGCATAATTCTTTTCACTTTACTTTGACATTCTACTTTCACTGGAAGATGAAATGCCTTTGTGTGTGTTTAAAGATAAAACTCAGACTGCTTCTCTTGTTTAATCTAGTTTTCAATATTTGATTCTGTGATTTCTTTGGTATATTTGATAAGTTGGAATTCCACGAAACTCTGATTTAGATGTTCTTGAGTTTCTTCCATTCAATTGATTTTTGAAAATGCATTTTTATTGTACTTTGAAAAAGTGCTAATTTGTCATCATCTTGTTTTAAAATACTTATTTATAACTATGTGCATTTTAATTTTTATTTGATTGTATAATAAAGAAAAAATGACATGTATTAAATCACTGTTTGATGGTACAATTGTAGCTCTGAATATAGTTTTGCTTCAATCACTTGTGACTCTCTCTCATATGATGGCACAATTGTAGCTTGAATATAGTTTTGCTTCAATCACTTGTGACTCTCTCTCTCATATGATGGTACAATTGTAGCTTGAATATAGTTTCGCTCCAATCGCTTGTGACTCTCTCTCATATGATGGTACAATTGTAGCTTGAATATAGTTTTGCTTCAATCTCTCTCTCATATGATGGTACAATTGTAGCTTGAATATAGTTTTGCTTCAATCACTTGTGACTCTCTCTCTCTCTCATATGATGGTACAATTGTAGCTTGAATATAGTTTTGCTCCAATCGCTTGTGACTCTCTCTCATATGATGGTACAATTGTAGCTTGAATATAGTTTTGCTTCAATCACTTGTGACTCTCTCTCTCATATGATGGTACAATTGTAGCTTGAATATAGTTTCGCTCCAATCGCTGGTGACTCTCTCTCATATGATGGTACAATTGTAGCTTGAATATAGTTTAGCTTTAATCACTTGTGACTCTCTCTGTCATATGATGGTACAATTGTAGCTTGAATATAGTTTCGCTCCAATCGCTGGTGACTCTCTCTCATATGATGGTACAATTGTAACTTGAATATAGTTTTGCTTCAATCGCTTGTGACTCTCTCTCATATGATGGTACAATTGTAACTTGAATATAGTTTTGCTCCAATCGCTTGTGACTCTCTCTCATATGATGGTACAATTGTAGCTTGAATATAGTTTTGCTCCAATCGCTTGTGACTCTCTCTCATATGATGGTACAATTGTAGCTTGAATATAGTTTTGCTCCAATCGCTGGTGACTCTCTCTCATATGATGGTACAATTGTAGCTTGAATATAGTTTTGCTCCAATCGCTTGTGACTCTCTCTCATATGATGGTACAATTGTAGCTCTGAATACAGTTTTGCTTCAATCGCTTGTGACTCTCTCTCATATGATGGTACAATTGTAGCTTGAATATAGTTTTGCTTCAATCACTTGTGACTCTCTCTCATATGATGGTACAATTGTAGCTTGAATATAGTTTTGCTCCAATCGCTTGTGACTCTCTCTCATATGATGGTACAATTGTAGCTTGAATATAGTTTTGCTTCAATCACTTGTGACTCTCTCTCTCTCATATGATGGTACAATTGTAGCTTGAATATAGTTTTGCTTCAATCACTTGTGACTCTCTCTCATATGATGGTACAATTGTAGCTTGAATATAGTTTTGCTCCAATCGCTTGTGACTCTCTCTCATATGATGGTACAATTGTAGCTTGAATATAGTTTTGCTCCAATCGCTTGTGACTCTCTCTCATATGATGGTACAATTGTAGCTCTGAATATAGTTTTGCTCCAATCGCTTGTGACTCTCTCTCATATGATGGTACAATTGTAGCTTGAATATAGTTTTGCTCCAATCGCTCGTGACTCTCTCTCATATGATGGTACAATTGTAGCTTGAATATAGTTTTGCTCCAATTGCTTGTGACTCTCTCTCATATGATGGTACAATTGTAGCTTGAATATAGTTTTGCTCCAAACGCTTGTGACTCTCTCTCATATGATGGTACAATTGTAGCTCTGAATATAGTTTTGCTTCAATCGCTTGTGACTCTCTCTCATATGATGGTACAATATTAGCTCTGAATATAGTTTTGCTTCAATGGCTTGTGACTCTCTCTCATATGATGGTACAATTGTAGCTTGAATATAGTTTTGCTCCAATCGCTTGTGACTCTCTCTCATATGATGGTACAATTGAAGCTTGAATATAGTTTTGCTTCAATCGCTTGTGACTCTCTCTCATATGCACCTCTAAGCTACTGTAGATGTATAGTACATAGGGGGACTATATTATATTATCAATTTATAAACACATAGTAAAACCTGCCTCAGGGGAACACCTTCGGCACCTCTAAAAAGTATTCCATTTTTGGATCATTTAACTATATATGTCATCAGTTGGTCTTGGACTCTGGAAAGTATTTCACTTCTAGAGGTGTTTCACTTCTAGAGGTTTTCTACTTCACATGTTTCACTGTTCTGTAATTTTCAACAGGAGCTGCTGGGGAGAGTCTTCTTCATGTCGCTGCTTTACGTGACCACTATGAGGCAGCCATATTGCTTTTGGAGAAGGAGCCATCGTTGGTCGATATGGCATATGAGAGTAAACTTTATTTTGGTGAGTACAGTATATTCTAAACATCTAAATCACATTCTGATTCATCAGAGTGTGTCTTTATCAGAACTTGTGTGTCTTCATCATCATTACAATTTTACCCAGCCCACCTTTGGCTAATTAACCACTCTTAACAATAGGAAATACAGAATTAATACACGAAAATCAATATCACATGTTGTAAATGAATTGCGTCGTTAATACCTTGTTCATTGGCCACTTTCATATATTTTTGAATTGCCAATGTGTATTGTATCTTTTCATCATTTAGCTTTGGAAAAGCAAAATATTATGATCTCAGATTTCATATTTTATGCCATCTCAATGACAGAATTCTGGGTGTTTAACTTTGCTTTTTCCAAAATCTTTCATCTGGCATTGAGATACAGCAGACAGGTTGTTGAGGTTCTCTTGTTTTGCCACTTCAGTTATGATTAATTTTTAAACTGAAATTCTTTGTATAGTTCCATATAACTCAACAGTGCTATTTACAATAGGAGGGAATTCAAGACATTAAATCCGATCAAATGTTAATCCTTAAATCCAGGGCTAACCATATTTGGAGAAATAAAGCTTTAACAAGCTGAACATATTTGGAGTTGTTTCATGTTATTACAAGCATCCTCAGTTATTTCCAAATGATTATAATTTATGACTACATATACATGGAGAAGCCTGAGAGGTGAACCATTAGGGGAACTCTTGAAACATTGTGATAGTTTAGGTTTTAATATGGGAGAAAATAAATTTTTGTAAAACTGGTTGTAAAAGATCTATACCGCCCTCAAAACTCAATTTAAATATATAAAATATTATGGTTGATCCTTGAACTATGTTGGTCTTCAGGTTCTTTTTGTAACCCAAGTACTCACCTAATTTTTCTCAAAAGGATAGGTATCGATATGGTGGACTGAATTCAACAATATTTTTCTCTTAAAAATTATTGAAAACATTCTGTAAAAAAACACGGTCCTTTATGTAATGTTGACTAATTGGCAACAATTTAATGCAAAAATTATTTATATATATAACTGTTTTTGTTAAAAAAAATTTGTTTTTAGTGCAATTGTTTTTTGTTCCTTTCTACCAATTCTTGAGAATGAAATAAAATGTCTTTCCGAACCTTATTGGAACAAAATAGCATATACAACATTTTCTTAGACCTCTCAAAATTATAGTTATACAAAGGAAATTTTGGTTGATTTAACAAAAAGTATGCAAAAACTTAAAACAAAACCCCCCAAAATAGATAAAAATTAAGTTAAACCTTTTTCATTAACAAGATACTTTTTTAAAATCAACTAAACTTTCCTTTGTACAGGGTGACCCAAAAAAAATGCAACCCTCCATTTCTTCAATATTTTTCTTAAATGGAGGTTAATTGCTCTGAAATTTGGCACACGAGGACTTCATTCAATGTGGGATCCTTTGGCAAAGTTTCAATAATCATAGTCTTATATTGATAGAGTTATGCTTGTTTCAAAATATGCTCCAAATGTCGTCCATTTCCAATGTTAGGTTTTCGGATGAATCACATTCCCTTCTTTCTGAACATGTAAACTCAAGAAATAATGTGTTCTGGCATCACAAATTCCAGATGAAGTGGTTCAAAGGCCCCTTCATTCTGTTAAATGCACAGCGTAGGCTGCCAATTTCCAAACATGAAATCAACAGCCCCTTTTGGTTTGAGGTTGATAATGGCAACACTGTTACTGTTAACACACAGCGCAATATTGGCGTTCTTAGGAAGTTCTAGGCAGTTCTAGAGTGACATAGAGGCTTCAATAGACAAGAACAGTGGTTCTAGAAGGATGGAGCTACTCCTCACACTTCTAATGATAGCATAGCCTGTCTCACTAGTCATTTCTATGAGAAGATTATCTCTCCTAGGACGGAGAACCCATGGTCATCCCACAGGCTTGATCTCAATGCCCCTGACTTCTATATATGGGGTTATTTAAAGGACAATGTGTATGAAAATTACCCTACCGCAATTGCAGAACTCCAACAAGCAATGGCTGCAAAATTTTGAGCCATACCCATGGGGAAGGATGCATCCATGTTATGAACAGTTTTCCTTGAACATTGCAAGTTTGTTTTCAGCGAAATTGACGACATCTGGAGCATATTTTGAAACAAGCATAACTCTATCAATAAAAGACTATGATTATTGAAACTTTGCCAGAGGATCCCACATTGAATGAAGTCCTCGTGTGCCAAATTTCAGAGCAATTAACCTCCATTTAAGAAAAATATTGAAGAAATGGAGGGTTGCATTTTTTTTGGGTCACCCTGTACAATTACAATATTGAGAGACCTAAACATGTTGTGTTTATGTCATTTTGTTTCAATGAGGTTCGGATAGATGTTTCATTTCATTCCGAACATATGATACCAAGAACGAAAGAATTGAAGTGTCCGATGTGTTTTCTAAAACAATATAGAGAAAAGTATATATAATATAATTCAAATTATAATGTTACTATCCAAAAGCTGACCATTAAATTGATGATGTGTAACATTTTCAGAACGTTTGATGACTAGATTAAGAGAAATGTGTGTTCAAAAAGTTCTCCATATCGATACCACTCTTTTCCATTGGCATACTGTTCAGATATTATAGTACAAAATGGGCCACGTCTTTTATGGAAAACCATTTATTGACTCAAACAGTCTCACTTATCAAAAAATCTTACAGTAGGAGACAAAGGTAACATGAAGGGAAATAAACAAACAAATAGATCTTAAAATGAGTCTTCATTTATTTCTTATTGCAGGTGAGACTGCTCTACACATTGCCATTATTAATCAGAACTTGCGCCTGGTACAAGCTTTGGTGGAGAAAGGAGCACACCTGGAGAAATCACGAGCTGTTGGGAGATTCTTCACCCCTTGTGATGACTGCCAATGTTACTATGGTAACTATATTTTCAATGAAAATGGACAATACAAATACAGGGCTTATCAAAAAAAACGCAACAAGTAGTTATCTCGTAAAATCACAAAACTAGTGATGACTACATCAATTTCATTTAATGTACTGTAAAGCCATGTCTCTCCTCTTTGCAATGATATGTTATTCATTCACATGTGGTAATGGTTGGGTGAGAAATCCTTCCATTTGCACAGTGGGTCAAAATCGGCTCTGCGCCAAGTTTTAGATATTGAAAAAAATCTGTGCAAGGGCTAAGTGCCAATGGAAGTTCCCCTGACTTGAATTGTTGTGACTTTTTCTTTTGGAGCTAGCTCACAATTCCTCCACCAGATATTGCAAAACCTCGAGAAAGATTTGCCCATGGGCTGCTTTTCTTTGCTTTCACTACGGGCAAATTATTAATATGACGCGCCAATTTCGTCTCATGCTTTTCACTCTAAAACCTACCGCTAGGTGTTCACGCGCTCCCGGTCTCTACTTCTTGTAAAACCCGCTTTCTTGGTGAGCAGAATAGAATTGCTTAAAATTAACAGATTTTTCTGATTTTTTCAATGGTGGTACTAGGGGGTCTCTACTGCATGTTTATCTAAATTATAAGTTGCTATGGTGTCAAATGTTTTCGTCATCTTTCTGTAAATAACCTTGAAAACATCGTGAGTGCAAAATTGTTGCGTCAAACAGACATGTTTAGGTTGGTCACAGGAGAAGCCGTTTTACACCACTGTTCTTGGACGGATTCCGAAAATAATTTCACGACAGTAATCTTTATGAATGTAAGTATTAAAGTAATTAAATTCACATCCATACTATGATTGTAAGCTATGTTTTCTTATGTCTAAATATCGAGGAATGAACTGCGCTGGCAGTCAGAAATAAACTTTTGATGATTGAACCGTTCAGTGTATAGCGTAAACTTTAGACGGACAATTCAATAACTTAATGTGAATGGATTTTTAAATAGATTTCAGATTCATGATCATATTAATGTGTAGATTAGAGGGTCTTTATTTTATAATTCTATGATCTAAATGTACTGAGTGGGTGCATCAACATTACGCATTGGCAACGATTTTCTCAAGTGAAATCAGATGAAGCTCACGAGTAAATATTGACCAACGTTTGTGTTTACACAGTCATATTTCAAAACTAAAGCATTATTTTAAAAATCTAAAACGATACAGGGTGTTCCAAAAGAAACAGGACTGGTGCTGGCATTTTGTCGAATATGCACCAATCGTCTTCAAAATTTTACATAATGTACTTCCATGTATTGTAACTAAGACTGCAAAGTTTTGACAATAATTATGAAACTGGGGTAGAGATATGGTTGCTATGGTAACATGACATCACAATACCCGGGGCAACATTTCACGCAGAAAGTTACAGAGATTTTAAGCATTTTGTACATCCCATAGCAAAGTTAGAGTCCAACAACTGGTGGGAATTACATTTGCTAAATACATTATTTGATATTCCTATGTATCCTCTACTTTGAAAAGTAGGGTCCTCTTTGGTCAGTCCAAGAGTAGCACTCAGTATCCATGACTCAAACACATGAGTGAACCCATTTGATGACATGGCACGCAGGGTCAATAGGACAACTTGGAGAAGGTCATTCTCATCTTTAAAGGTCTTACCGTGCTGGTTAGCATTCCATTCCCCATAAAAAAGTAAAAATTAGATATTGCATGATCAGAAGAGTATGATGCATGGTCTTAGACCTAAAGACCTATCTCTGCTATAGCTGCAGTGGTCTTTAATGCTGACTTGTGGGCAGACACCTTACCAAGGTGGATGACTGGCTTCAAATTGGCTCTTTTCAAAAACTCAACAGTGAATTGTGCAACTGTTATACATAATGATATTTCAGGAAATTGAATAAATATTATTATTTTGAAATCATACTTGAATCTGAGTTGTATAGCAACCCCATAACTATAAAGCAACTAATAAAACAAACAAGAAATTTTATATTGTAATAGGCGAATTAGATACTTGCTTCAGTAATATAAAAATGTTAGATATAACAATTTCATGAAAAAGTTGCCCCGGGTATTGTGATGTCACATTACTATAGTAACCATAACTTTACCCGCATTTTATAATTTTTTCTGAAACTTTTACAATTTTAGTTGCACTACTTCAAAGTACAATTTGTGAAAATTTGAACACACTCGGTGCAGAATTGACAAAATGCCAGCACCAGTCCTGTTACTTTTGGAACACCCTGTACGATTGCGATTTAAAGTTTCTAGTTTTTGAATATGTGAATTTAAATTAATTTTATTTATAAATGAAAAAAATGAACCAAGGGTGAAAGTATGACTATCCATAGACGTCCTTGGACTATCAAATCATTCGTTTTAATGACTTGACCAAATGTAGCAAAATGTAGCAAACTGGGAAGTACATTATAAACATAAGACTTTTACACACGCGCGGACGTATTAGAGCCAGATAAGTACAACTGTGCACGTTCTCCAAATAAAAGGTCTCAATCTTTCTCCATTGACGGTAACATAATAATTCTGCACCTGGAGATGCAACATTTCGTCCAGTGCGATCGTGATCAGCGCACCTAGCGGATGACGCGTCATATCAATAATTTGCCTGTAGTGTTTAACCCACACATGATTCAGGGCTGAACCATGCATGATGTGGACAGATGAGCGCATCTTTATGTGCAAGGAAGTGGTGGCAATTTGGAGGGGTATAGGATGTATTCTTGCAAGAGTATGAGTATGAACACTTTACTGTCTATGCCATACCTGTCACACCTTCTTCCAATAGCCCCTATGCCCCTTGTACTGACTTTTGCAATGTTTTAACTTGGGTCCGAGCTGAATTTTGCCCCACTTTGCAAAATTCATGATTATTCGGCCAGAGATGACCCCCTGTCAATGAATGATATTCCATTGCAAAGAGGAGTAATTTGGCTTTTCGGTACATTGAATTAAAAGGATACAGTCAGCATTGATTTTATGTTTTCGTCCAATATTGGAATTGAATGAGAAGAGGCTTAGCTGGTAAAAATTAAAAAGGAACACTTTCCTGTCATATATTGATCAGTAGCATCTTTTTTTGAAGACTTGGTATTTTTAACTCTTGATCATCTGCTTTTGCAAGTATTTCAATTCATGAAATTTTACCAAAATGCTGAAAGAAGAAGGCAAAAATGCCATATTTATTATATTAATTTCAGATATATAATATGTTTTATTCAGGGGAGTTCCCTTTATCTTTTGCTGTGTGCACGGGGCAGCCTGACATTGTGAAGTATCTTGTAGAAAAGGGAGCGTCACTAAATGCCCAGGATCACCATGGCAACACAGCATTACATTTGCTCGCCTTAAAAGAAAGTATTAATCCAAAATCTGCAAAAAGTGAGTCACTGTAAATGTCCTATAAAACATAGTAGTACAACCTTTATCTACAGAGTCAGGTGGTAAAAAATGGAAACCCTGCTGTTATTTTACTCATATATTTGTCATTTTTAGAATTTGTTCCCTGATATTTGGTGCATTTGTACATATTTAATTGACTCGTGCTGAGGCAAGAGCCATATCTCAGTTGGGTTTAGTAGTAAGTGATATGACAATGGACTGAGGTTTAAACATTAGTCTACTATATCTAGTAGAAAACCTGATGGGTTTAAACCTGATATTTATTGATGAAAATGAGTTAATTCCTCGAGCAAAAGTTTAACCCTAAGGTGTTAGTTTATAATAAAATTGCATTAGAGAGGGTTTCAAATGACATATACGCAATTTTTAAAAGAAAGCTTGGCAATTTATTTATACAGTGAATCTTGACTTAGAAAACACTCTTCTGTAAGGAACACCTGCTTTACAAGTTATAGAACATCTTTCAAAATATGCATAAAATTTCAATTTTTCAGTCTTGATCAGGAACTCATTATTTCTCCCACTGAACATGCTGAAGTGAAATAATTCTTGAAATGCATTACAGTACTAGTTATGAGTTCAATAAAGTCAAAGACCAATCCAACTTTTTCAATAACCCTGTTGATAAACTAATAATATATTACAGTATTAGTTAATATATTAGTTAGCACTATTGTTTTTGTACTTCTTTTTATAATATAATTAATAAATTATGTAGTTCACATATTCATAATCAAGTTTTACATCTTTTTTATCTTGTGTTATATTTTCATATCCCTATTTATCAATACAATTCATTACAACACTGCAAACATCTCCTTCACACGAGCCTTCATTTTTTTAAATGATCTCTTGTTTCTAATCAGCCCACCATATTTTATGACCATCAGACTGATCTTTACAATGTTACAGCACTTTAAACTACATGCTCCAATGACCAGTATTGCACTTCATGTAAACCAACACATGTCGTTAGAAATGTCCCTACCTACCTTCTACCTGTTAGATATACCAAAGGTATTGTGTCTGAGAATGAACCCAGGACAATTACAAACCTCAAACTTATTACATTGACAACTTTTGGCACAATCATGGCCACACCTGGGCATGTTGTTTAAAAAGCTGTAACATTGCGACTATCAGTCTGATGGTTATGAAATCTGTTAGGTTGGTAGGTAATTAAATGATGTACATATGTGCCAAATATCAGGGAGTAATTTCATAATATGACAAAGATAAAAAGAAAATAAGGGTTTCTGTATTTTTTAACCACCCTGTAAAAAAATCAATTTTTTTTCTTTTACTTCCACACATTCCTAAAATATATCAAGTAACTTCTGATCCCATCCTTATAGTACAATGATGGCCTTTTGAATATTTTCTCTTATTCACTTGACAGAGATCGTATTGATTTGCTAGAAACTCTCTTGTGCATGTATTACACAGAGGTGTAGCTGACCACAATGAATCAAAATATCAGTTTTCACATGATTTGTCAGAAAAAAGTCAAGAAAATGTAGCTTTCAGAAAATCAAAACAATAAAAAGATGTTATTTTCAGAAATGTATGACATCATAATCTCACTGGATCCTGATGATAAACTGAAGTTGAACAGCATCAGGAATATTCTTGGCTTCACCCCCTCCCAGTATGCCACCCATCTTGGCCATGTAGAGGTGAGATATTTTAAAGACAATGCACAGATTTGATTTTATGCAATGAACAGAATGTAACACTTTTCTCAGTGTGACAGATAATTCACTTTACATCCCAAATATTCCAGCTGAATATATAATTATATGGCTTTTTATCGTACCTAATAAAGGTACGATATTGTCGTCAGCTTGACGGGCAGCGGGCGGGCGGCGGGTGAGCAGCCGGCGGGCGGCGTCTCACTTTTCAGCTTGTCTACAGGTTTCCAGCCAAACCATTTGACAGATTCATCTGAAATTTTCAGGAATGTTTCTACGCATCAAAGTTAAGAACTGATGAGTTTTTGGGCATTCTGGGTAAATTTTAAGGTGGCCATTTTGGATTTTCCGTCCTTAAATCTTCACTTTCAAGACTTGTCTACAGGTTTCCAGCCAAACCATTTGACGGATTCATCTGAAATTTTCAGGAATGTTTCTACGTATCAAAGTTGAGAACTGATTACTTTTTGGGCATTCTGGGTAAATTTTAAGGTGGCCATTTTGGATTTTCCGTCCTAAAATCTTCACTTTCAAGACTTGTCTACAGGTTTCCAGCCAAACCATTTGACGGATTCATCTGAAATTTTCAGGAATGTTTCTACGTATCAAAATTGAGAACTGATTACATTTTGGGCATTCTCGGTAAATTTTAAGGTGGCCATTTTGGATTTTCCGTCCTAAAATCTTCACTTTCAAGACTTGTCTACAGGTTTCCAGCCAAACCATTTGACGGATTCATCTGAAATTTTCAGGGATGTTTCTAGGTATCAAAGTTAAGAACTGATTAGTTTTTTGGCATTCTGGGTAAAATCTAAGGTGGCCATTTTGGATTTTCCGTCCTAAAATCTTCACTTTTAAGACTTGTCTACAGGTTTCCAGCCAAACCATTCGACAGATTCATTTGAAATTTACAGGGATGTTTCTACATATCAAAGTTAACAACTGATTAGTTTTTGGGCATTCTGGGTAAATTTTAAGGGGCCATTTTGGATTTTCCGTCCTAAAATCTTCACTTTCAAGACTTGTCTACAGGTTTCCAGCCAAACCATTTGAGGGATTCATCTGAAATTTTCAGGGATGTTTCTACGTATCAAAGTTAAGAACTGATTAGTTTTTTGGCATTCTGGGTATAATTTAAGGTGGCCATTTTGGATTTTCCGTCTTAAAATCTTCACTTTCAAGACTTGTCTACAGGTTTCCAGCCAAACAATTTGACGGATTCATTTGAAATTTACAGGGATGTTTCTACATATCAAAGTTAACAACTGATTAGTTTTTGGGCATTCTGGGTTAATTTTAAGGTGGCCATTTTGGATTTCCCGTCCTAAATTCTTCACTGTCACACTGCTGTGTTTTAGGTACGATATTGTTCACGTCTGTGCCTTGTTTGAATTGACAGTTGTGACTGTTTTTGAATGAGACAATAATTGTAATTAGTACAAAGCTGTGCCAAGCACATCAACAATAAGTATAAGTTATACACACACAGAAGGATAAGGCAAATTGTTTTGTTGGCTTTGTTTTTACTCACTGACAGATTGATATGCCAATATCAGTGGTATATAGGTGCTGCCCTCTTTTTAAAACTCTGAATCAAAATACATGTAGCTTCATTTGTTTCTAAAATTGTTTTCAGTTGGTTGAGCACATCCTGTTTCGCCGACAACAAGTACTTTGGACTTATGGGTCAGTTTCTACGGTGATATACGACCTTGAAGACATTGATACATTCCATGATGGAAAATGTCAGGATGGCAGTCTCTTGGAACTTTCTGTCAAATGTGCACATAAAAATGTAAGCTATAGTTGTAAAGTGTTACTATGTAATGTAAACAATTTCAACTTCGACAACATTGAATCCACCTTCGCCAATATTGAATCCACCAAAATGAAATGTAACGAGAAAAGAGATGCGGAATGTTTTGGGTTTCAGAAAAAATACCCTTATCCTGCTTTTATTCAAACATTTGAATGATAATTTAGATAATAATCCATGGATAAAAATATAAAATGTATTTAATTTAATAACTCTTGTCTTTCAGGCATCCAAATTTCTCTCAATACAACCACTTGGCGAGATACTTCAACATAAGTATCTGAGCATGAGGCCATGGGTCTACAGTGGCGCCATCTTTTATGTAATCTACATGACATTACTGACATTAATCGCATATTACCGTCCCCTTCCCAAACCAACCATAGAGACAGTAACCATATCTAATGCTTCAGGGTTGTTTAATATCACACGTTTCATACCAAACCCTGACAGAAGAATTACTCTGTTTGTAAGTATAAGATTTTCTATATACATGTAGGCCCTATCTGTTTCCCAGTTGAAGATGCCAGTTCATCTAAGTTCTGAAAAAGTTCAGCACAGAATTATTCTTGTTTAGAATCCTTGTATAGGCTTTGTTGTAGAAAAACCCTGTTGTGCAAAACATGTCACTATGATACTTAATGGTGATTGTAAAAGCCTTCAATTTTTGCATCTGTAACATGTAGCATTTTCATAATATAGCAATAACTCAGATTGATTGTTTATTTCAGGATGCATATGATACAAGAGAAAGCTCTAATAATGCCAGATTGGTAGCTGAAGTGATAGTTCTAGCTTGGTGGGCTGTTATTACCATTGGGGAGGTAAGAATAAATAAACTGTAAAACTGTCTCGTGGACACCTCCATCCATAAGTTGAATACTTTAAAGTCCTGTGTCTCATTGGGCACCTCCATCCATAAGTTGAATACTTTAAAGTCCTGTGACTCATTGGCCACCTCTATAACTTGAACACTTTAAAGTCAGTCCTGTGACTCATTGGCCACCTCCATCCATAAGTTGAATACTTTAAAGTCCTGTGACTCATTGGGCACCTCCATCCATAAGTTGAATACTTTAAAGTCCTGTGTCTCATTGGACACCTCCGTCCATAAGTTGAATACTTTAAAGTCCTGTGACCCATTGGCCACCTCCATCCATAAGTTGAATACTTTAAAGTCCTGTGACCCATTGGCCACCTCTATAACTTGAACACTTTAAATTCAGTCCTGTGACCCATTGGCCACCTCCATCCATAAGTTGAATACTTTAAAGTCCTGTGACTCATTGGCCATCTCCATCCATAAGTTGAATACTTTAAAGTCCTGTGTCTCATTGGACACCTCCATCCATAAGTTGAATACTTTAAAGTCCTGTGTCTCATCGGACACCTCCATCCATAAGTTGAATACTTTAAAGTCCTGTGACCCATTGGCCACCTCCATCCATAAGTTGAATACTTTAAAGTCCTGTGACCCATTGGCCACCTCTATAACTTGAACACTTTAAAGTCAGTCCTGTGACCCATTGGCCACCTCCATCCATAAGTTGAATACTTTAAAGTCCTGTGACTCATTGGCCACCTCTATAACTTGAACACTTTAAAGTCCTGTGACTCATTGGGCACTTCCATCCATAAGTTGAATACATTAAAGTCCTTTGACTCATTGGACACCTCCATCCATAAGTTGAATACTTTAAAGTCCTGTGAGCCAATGGACACTTCCATCCATAAGTTGAATACTTTAAAGTCCTGTGACTCATTGGAAACCTCCATCCATAAGTTGAATACTTTAAAATCCTGTGACTAATTGGGCACCTCCATCCATAAGTTGAACACTTTAAAGTCCTGTGTTTCATCGGACACCTCCATCTATAAGTTGAATACTTTAAAGTCCTGTGACTCATTGGGCACCTCCATCCATAAGTTGAATACTTTAAAGTCCTGTGACTCATTGGACACCCCATCTATAAGTTGAACACTTTAAAGTCCTGAGTCTCATTGGACACCTCCATCCATAAGTTGAATACTTTAAAGTCCTGTTACTCATTGGACACCTCCATCCATAAGTTGAATACTTTAAAGTCCTGTGACTCATTGGCCACCTCTATAACTTGAACACTTTAAAGTCAGTCCTGTGACTCATTGGCCACCTCCATCCATAAGTTGAATACTTTAAAGTCCTGTGACTCATTGGGCACCTCCATCCATAAGTTGAATACTTTAAAGTCCTGTGTCTCATTGGACACCTCCGTCCATAAGTTGAATACTTTAAAGTCCTGTGACCCATTGGCCACCTCCATCCATAAGTTGAATACTTTAAAGTCCTGTGACCCATTGGCCACCTCTATAACTTGAACACTTTAAATTCAGTCCTGTGACCCATTGGCCACCTCCATCCATAAGTTGAATACTTTAAAGTCCTGTGACTCATTGGCCATCTCCATCCATAAGTTGAATACTTTAAAGTCCTGTGTCTCATTGGACACCTCCATCCATAAGTTGAATACTTTAAAGTCCTGTGTCTCATCGGACACCTCCATCCATAAGTTGAATACTTTAAAGTCCTGTGACCCATTGGCCACCTCCATCCATAAGTTGAATACTTTAAAGTCCTGTGACCCATTGGCCACCTCTATAACTTGAACACTTTAAAGTCAGTCCTGTGACCCATTGGCCACCTCCATCCATAAGTTGAATACTTTAAAGTCCTGTGACTCATTGGCCACCTCTATAACTTGAACACTTTAAAGTCCTGTGACTCATTGGGCACTTCCATCCATAAGTTGAATACTTTAAAGTCCTTTGACTCATTGGACACCTCCATCCATAAGTTGAATACTTTAAAGTCCTGTGAGCCAATGGACACTTCCATCCATAAGTTGAATACTTTAAAGTCCTGTGACTCATTGGAAACCTCCATCCATAAGTTGAATACTTTAAAATCCTGTGACTAATTGGGCACCTCCATCCATAAGTTGAACACTTTAAAGTCCTGTGTTTCATCGGACACCTCCATCTATAAGTTGAATACTTTAAAGTCCTGTGACTCATTGGGCACCTCCGTCCATAAGTTGAATACTTTAAAGTCCTGTGACTCATTGGACACCCCATCTATAAGTTGAACACTTTAAAGTCCTGAGTTTCATTGGACACCTCCATCCATAAGTTGAATACTTTAAAGTCCTGTTACTCATTGGACACCTCCATCCATAAGTTGAATACTTTAAAGTCCTGTGACTCATTGGACACCTCCATCCATAAGTTGAATACTTTAAAGTCCTGAGTCTCATTGGACACCTCCATCCATAAGTTGAATACTTTAAAGTCCTGTGACTCATTGGACACCTCCATCCATAAGTTGAACACTTTAAAGTCTTGTGTCTCATTGGACACCTCCATCCATAAGTTGAATACTTTAAAGTCCTGTGACTCATTGGACACCTCCATCTATAAGTTGAACACTTTAAAGTCCTGTGTCTCATTGGACACCTCCATCCATAAGTTGAATACTTTAAAGTCCTGTGACTCATTAGACACCTCCATCCATAAGTTGAATACTTCAAAGTCCTGTGTCTCATTGGACACCTCCATCCATAAGTTGAATACTTTAAAGTTCTGTGTCTCATTGGACACCCCATCCATAAGTTGAACACTTTAAAGTCCTGTGTCTCATTGGACACCTCCATACATAAGTTGAACACTTTAAAGTCCTGTGTCTCATTGGACACCTCCATCCATAAGTTGAATACTTTAAAGTCCTGTGACTCATTGGACACCTCCATCTATAAGTTGAACACTTTAAAGTCTTGTGTCTCATTGGACACCTCCATCCATAATTTGAATACTTTAAAGTCCTGTGACCCATTGGACAGCTCCATACATAAGTTGAACACTTAAAGGTTCTGTGACTCATTGGACACCTCCATACATAAGTTGAATACTTTAAAGTCCTGTGACTCATTGGACACCTCCATCCATAAGTTGAATACTGTAAAGTCCTGTGACTCATTGGAAACCTCCATCCATAAGTTGAACACTTTAAAGTCATGTGACTCATTGGACAGCTCCATACTTAAGTTGAACATTTTAAAGTTCTCCGACTCATTGGACACCCCATCCATAAGTTGAACACTTTAAAGTCCTGTGTCTCATTGGACACCCCATCCATAAGTTGAACACTTTAAAGTCCCGTGTCTCATTGGACACCCCATCCATAAGTTGAACACTTTAAAGTCCTGTGACTCATTGGACAGCTCCATCCATAAGTTAAACATTTTAAAGTCCTGTGACTCATTGGACACCCCATCCATAAGTTGAACACTTTAAAGTCCTGTGTCTCATTGGACACCCCATCCATAAGTTGAACACTTTAAAGTCCTGTGGCTCATTGGACACCTCCGTCCATAAGTTGAACACTTTAAAGTTCTGTGACTCATTGGACACCTCCGTCCATAAGTTGAACACTTTAAAGTTCTGTGACTGATTGGACACCTCCGTCCATAAGTTGAACACTTTAAAGTTCTGTGACTCATTGGACACCTCTGTCCATAAGTTGAACACTTTAAAGTTCTGTGACTCATTGGACACCTCCGTCCATAAGTTGAACACTTTAAAGTTCTGTGACTCATTGGACACCTCCGTCCATAAGTTGAACACTTTAAAGTTCTGTGACTCATTGGACACCTCCGTCCATAAGTTGAACACTTTAAAGTTCTGTGACTTATTGGACACCTCTGTCCATAAGTTGAACACTTTAAGGTTCTGTGACTCATTGGACAGCTCCATACATAAGTTGAACACTTAAAGTCAGTCCTGTGACCCCTCCATCCATAAGTTGAATACGTTAAAGTCCTGTGTCTCATTGGACACCTCCATCTATAAGTTGAATACTTTAAAGTCCTGTGTCTCATTGGACACCTCCATCCATAAGTTGAACACCATGAGGCATTTATTTGCATTAGGTAAACATTAATTTACATAAAGGTGTCTAGTTACACGTCCATTGTCTACATGTTTATGTTAATCAGGTTGGTTGATCTTGTAATAGTATAGATCTTTTTGATCTCTTCCTTTATTTTTGATCTCTTCCTTTATTTCTTTTTTTCTGCACAAGTTTTCAAAAAAGCATTGCATGTGTCAATGTAAATGATTTCAAATGTTTTTATGAATAAAAAAGCAATAAAAAAGAAAAAAAGATATTTGAAATTGATATAATCAAGCAAAATTTTGAGGAAGAGTTTCCAGGAGACATATCATTAAAGCATACACTCTGTGTCTGTTGCAAGCCCAACTGATGTTTTTATGATAATTGATTGTTTCCTTCTGTCTAATGTGTTTCTCTTTTCCAGTGCCTGGACCTCAACTGGCTTGGCTGGAGATTATATTTCCTTGGTAAAGGATGTGGAGCTTTCAACATTTTAAGGTAGCTATTTTCTTTTCCATATTATAATGTAACTTTTTCCGGTAAAATGTACATTTTCTTACAAAGGTAGCATTTACACAATCTTTGAACTATAACACTGTAATGTACAATTTTGACATTTTATTTCAACACTTAATCAATGTAAAAGGTACTTTTTGTTCCAAAATGAATGTTTTTCTTAAATATACCTGGTACCTGAAGCTACATGTAGTTTGTTAACAATAATTAAATACCTCTAGTTGTCTATATGTTTTGACACCTCTAGTTGTCTATATGTATTTCCCACTTTTAAGATCTGTTACATACAATGTACATGTATACAAAAAGTAGCTTAAAATATCTGTTTTCATTTCAGATGGGTCCACATAATTATTTTCCTGACCACTGCCATATTACGTGTCTTCTGCCACCCAAGAGAGGAAATCGCCCTTGCTCTACTGATGCTTACAGGCTGGGCATATATGTTGTTTTACAGCAGATTGTTTGCTAAACTGGGGCCATATGTTGTCATGCTAGAGACAATACTATGTAGAGATATGCTTAGGTTTATATCAGCATATTTCTGCATTCTCATTGGTTATTCAGCAGGTATGTAGTGTTTTATCTTTTTATTGTTAAAACAGACTTGAATTTCATATTTTTTTAAGTTTCTATGAAGTATATTTGTAATAATTGGAGAATTTTCATTCTTCTCAACCTACTTTCTCCTTTAAGGGCTTGACAGGCTAGTACTCATTGACTAAAAACCTAAACCTAAAACATGTGTCTCCTTGCTATTGAGATGTAAAATAATTCCAATCTAAATGGCCACATACATGTACAGTATATGGAACTTGTAAAAATTGCGTGAATACATTCTGTTCCAGCTTTTGTGGTGATGTACTCAGATGTCCAGTTGCTAGGCAACACTGAATTATTTGGAGATTTTGGGCTCTCCATGTTGACTCTGATCAAAGCCATTGTAGGCCTACAGGAGCTGCCTCTCAGTGTATGTCATTCACAATACTTTTCAGGGGGAGGTTTGCAGGGTTCGGGCGAACCCCCCCCCCCCCCCTGACCAAAAATTCTTTCAAAATCATTCAGTTTTTCACCATTTTGAGCACTTCTTAAGTGATTTTAGCCATATTTGGGCCAAAATTGTCAAATGTGAACCCCCCCTGGAAATATTTGAAAACTGAACCTGAAAACTGAAACTGAACCAAGGCGTCCCTTGGCAAATCCTGGCTACGGGCCTGCATTTACACTAACAAATCACATAAACTGGTGTTCATTTTAATAGGCACTTTTAATTTCATTTATTCATTGTCATGAAAATAGGGCCATACCAGATCTGAACTCCTTCGACATATCATTATTGTATACAATTTATTACCGACTATTGTGCAAAAATGTAGCATTAACAGATGACTAATAGATGACATGATTAGCAATAAGAAAGAGAAGCTATTTTAATGTACATGTATGAGAATGTTGTTTAATGATGGAATCTGCTTTAATATGTCACCACCAAAAGTGGTGACATATTCTTATGGTCTCAATTTTTGTGACAGTGGTTGCAGGCATTCAGCATCTGTAACAAATGGCAGGTGATGACATTTTGCATGTTAATGCCTTCTGTTTTATTATGTCACCACCAAAAGTGGTGACATATTGTTATGGTCTCCGTTTTTTTTGCGACGGCGGTTGGCGTCCGGCAGTTGGTGGTTGGTGTCCGGCGGTTGGCGTCCGGCGGTTGGCGTCCGGCGTCTGTAACAATTTCTTACAACTTCCTATAACTTAACAAATACTGTTTAGACTGACTTCAATTTTTTTCTAAATCATCTACATGTTCTCAGAAGTTCAAATCTGACTTTAGATTTGACATTTGACCTTCAATGACCTTCTCAAGGTCAAAAAGGTCTTTTTTCAACTTGCTTTACATTGACTAAATTTTTTTTCAAAATCATCTACATGTTCTCAGAAATTCAAATCTGACTTTAGATTTGACATTTGACCTTCAAATCTGACTTTAGATTTGACATTTGACCTTCTCAAGGTCAAAAAAGGTCAAAAAGGTCTGTTTTCAACTTGCTTCAAATTGACTAAGTTTTTTTTCAAAATCATCTACGTGTTCTCAGAAATTCAAATCTGACTTAAGATTTGACTTAAGATTTGACATTTGACCTTCAATGACCTTCTCAAGGTCAAAAAAGGTCAAAAAGGTCTGTTTTCAACTTGCTTCAAATTGACTAAATTTTTTTTCAAAATCATCTACGTGTTCTCAGAAATTCAAATCTGACTTAAGATTTGACTTAAGATTTGACATTTGACCTTCAATGACCTTCTCAAGGTCAAAAAAGGTCAAAAAGGTCTTTTTTCAACTTGCTTCAAATTGACTAAATTTTTTTTTCAAAATCATCTACATGTTCTCAGAAATTCAAATCTGACTTTAGATTTGACATTTGACCTTCAATGACCTTCTCAATGTCAAAAAAGGTCAAAAAGGTAATTTTTTCATCTTGCTTCAAATTGACTAAATTTTTTTCAAAATCATCTACATGTTCTCAGAAATTCAAATATGACTTTAGATTTGACATTTGACCTTCAATGACCTTCTCAAGGTCAAAAAAGGTCAAAAAGGTCTTTTTTCAACTTGCTTCAAATTGACTAATTTTTTTTTCAAAATCATCTACATGTTCTCAGAAATTCAAATCTGACTTTAGATTTGACATTTGACCTTTAATGACCTTCTCAAGGTCAAAAAAGGTCAAAAAGGTCTGTTTTCAACTTGCTTCAAATTGACTAAAAAAAATTTCAAAATCATCTACGTGTTCTCAGAAATTCAAATCTGACTTTAGATTTGACTTAAGATTTGACATTTGACCTTCAATGACCTTCTCAAAGTCAAAAAAGGTCAAAAAGGTCTTTTTTCAACTTGCTTCAAATTGACTAAATTTTTTTTTCAAAATCATCTACATGTTCTCAGAAATTCAAATCTGACTTAAGATTTGACATTTGACCTTCAATGACCTTCTCAATGTCAAAAAAGTCAAAAAGGTATTTTTTCATCTTGCTTCAAATTGACTAAATTTTTTTTCAAAATCATCTACATGTTCTCAGAAATTCAAATATGACTTTAGATTTGACTTTAGATTTGACATTTGACCTTCAATGACCTTCTCAAGGTCAAAAAAGGTCAAAAAGGTCTGTTTTCAACTTGCTTCAAATTGACCAATTTTTTTTTCAAAATCATCTACATCTTTTCAGAAGTTCAAATTTGACTTTACAAGTTCTCAGAAATTCAAATCTGACCTAAGTTTGAACTCATAATATTGTGAGCAGCTAGGTGGTGACATTTTGTCATGTTAATGCCTTGTTGTCAATGTTCTGCTATGCTATATTACATATTTTTATCTAGGTGTTCAACCTTTGCCCCACCCCCTCACTCGCCATTGTGGTATATGTGAGCTACCTCATACTAGTTGCCATTCTGTTTGTGACATCACTGGTTGCTATGGTAACACATACATATGATAAAGAATATGAAAATCACATTCTGCTGTGGAAGAAACAGGTCAGTGAAAATATTCAAATGTTTAAAAGAGTAATTTCTTTTGGCTTCAACTTTTTCAAGGGATATCATTGAGAAAGCCACATATTAAGTAGAACAACCATATTTTAGTTCATTACTAAGTATTTGGCATTAGTTGGTTGAAATCACAATCACTTTATAGTAGTTATAGTAGTATGTACCATATAGTCTGTAGTAATTAATTCAATCCATATTAATATAAGTTATTTTCATTGTCCAGTCGAGTCCCTTTCACCCTGTGTATACATCTATCATACAGTTAGAAAGTACATGTTTTTAAAAATGGCTGATGTTATTTTTTATTAGGTTTTGTTGCTGGCGCTGCAGATGGAGCAGAAGATTCCAAGTTTTCTTAGAAAGAGCACAGGAATAAATGGAGTCAAACTAGGTCTAACCCCAGACAAGAGTTATTTCAAGTGAGTTTGGACTAATAAAATGTCATATTTAATGGAGCGAAGGTCCAAATTTTGTATTTGATGTCTAAATATGATTGTTTAATAAAAGTTTAACGCTGACAATGCGTACCTTTCAGTATCTATAGCCCAATTAAAACTTAACTTTTCATTGTCCAAGAATATCAAATGGATCGCTCATTTCTAAAAGTTTTGTTTGACACCAATAAACCTGAAACGAACCACATCGCAGCTTAGATTCACAAATCCAAGAATATTACCTGATCTGTCAAATTTAGTCAAAAACCTTTATCATTTTCAACACCAGATGGCGATTACATAAGTTGTTCTGATCATATCACGTGAGGTATTTTCCTGTTAAAATCCTTCTGCTTGGGGTCAGCAAAATAACCATCTATTCTGATAAAAGTAACATCAAGGGGCGAGGAGGAAAATTCTCAATAAATGGTGTATAGTTGGTTTGGCAGCATTTTCAGGTAGGGGAGAGTCTTTGATGAAAGTTCCACCTAGGTGATAGCTTCGCAGAGTGGTAGGAAGTTCTTTTTTTTGAGGAGTTAGACCCCCACCCCCCAAAAACACCCCACCCCAGGGAAAAATATTGTTCACACTAAATAGCCTTAGATATTCTGATGTTTGTAAGTGACATACATAGATATTATATATATGAATCATTTGTAGTATAATTGATGCTAATTACTCCTAGAGAATTTGAATATTAGTACAAAGTGTGTACCCTAGGGGGCAAATCCGTGACTCATTTTCTTACTATTTTGTTTCTAACTTTTCAATTAGACACTGTAAGAGGTTGTAAAAATTTATATGAAGTGCCCAATAGCAGGGTTAGTGACCCTGAAAGAAGCAAAGCCATGGAAGAGGTAGGAGCTGAGAAAAAAATTGTTGATTTTTCGAAAAATTTGACATTTTTGACAGCTGGATTTTGTGTACGACTATAGCTGATCCCTATAGTTTCTAGATCCATCCCTCTATGATGATATTTATGGTTTTATAGTGTGGAACTAAGATGTAAAACATAATTTAGATGGGTTTTAAGGAAGTTAAAGGTTTAAAACAAGTCCAAAATTTGAAAAATTGTAAATATAGGGTTTCAAATTTACGAATTCCAGGTATAGCCATGGCTGACCCCTATAGTTTCTAGATCCATCCTTCTTTGATGATATTTATGCTTTTATAGTGTGAAACTAAGATATAAAACATAGTTTAGATGGGTTTTAAGGAAGTTATAGGTTTTAAACAAGTTCAAAATTCGAAGAATTGTAAATATAAGGTTTCAAATTTACGAATTCCAGGTATAGCCATAGCTGACCCCCATAGTTTCAAGATCCATCCCTTTATGATGATATTTGTTGTTTTGTTGTGTAGAACTAATATGTAAAACACAATTTAGAAGGGTTTTAAGGAAGTTTAAGGTTTTTAAGAAGTCCAAAATTTGAAAAATTGTAAATATAAGGTTTCAAATTTACGAATTTCAGGTATAGCCAAAGATGACCCTTATGGTTTTTACGTCTATACCTCAGTGATGAAATATATAGTTTTAGAGTGTTTAACTAAAATGTAAAAGATAGCTAAGATGAGTTTTAAGAAGTTCAAGGTTTTAAACAAGTGCAAAATTTGGAAAGTTGAGAAATATCATGTCTCAAATTCACATTATTCAGGTTCAGCCTTGAGTGAGCCCTGATAATCAAAGGTTATGAGCATATTAGTATCAACTATGATATAGCTTAGAGACCAGGTGTAGAACAATACCTGTTGCAGCAGTTAGTCTGCTGCATATAGATGGAGTGAAAAGTCATGAACTACAGTAAAATCTCCCTTATCTGAATGCTATTTGGACCAGCTAAAAGCATTCTAATAAGGAGTATTTGAATTTTGAGGTTTTTACATCTGCAATATTCTGAATTTTGAAGAAATATGAATGCATTCTCAATGAAAAATATTAATAAATATTAATAATATTTATACTGACCACATAAAAAGCTTAATAGCATTCCAAAATCCAATTCAAACGTTTTGATATCATAACAATTCGGTGTTAAACTGACAATATTTGAGCAATTTTGTGAGAAATATGTGATGTTTGGTAAAAAGGGTTCAAGTTAGACAGGTTAATCTTTCAAATATGAGTGTTCACTGTTCGAATTAAGAGGTGTTCAGATTTCAATTTTTTAAACATAGGAGTCAATGGGAGGAAAAATGGACTGGGAAAAGTGTTCAGATTGGTGGGTGTTCAGATTAGTCAGGTGTTGGGATGATTGGTAGGTGTTCACAATAGTCAGATGTTGGGATATACAGGTTTCACTGTTGATATAGCATTTATACAAGATGATGAACTAGAACTACTGTACTAGGTGCCTTTGATAATTTTTACCACAAAGTTAATACTATGTCAGGAAAAGAAAGTACCCATGACACCATGCTTGTACAACTTGAAAATCAACAACACTATAACATTTAATAAAGGTGTCTACCAGATGAGTAATCCACATAAATTCAAATACAAGCACTTGTCTTGGCATGCTATTCCCTAAGATGCTATTTATAGATTTTTAATCAATGAAATTAATCAGCTTATTGGTTTCATATAAGTTTCTCTAGAATCTAAAATTGACCTTGGGTTTATGAGAGTAGTAAATTGGAATGCAGTTATATGAAGTATTGAATTGGCTGGAATTGGACACACCTTGCCTAGCTATGTGGGAGTAAACTATGATCTTATATTGATACAAACATTTCGTTTGACAATGATCATCTATCTTATCCTGTAAAATCAGAACTTAAAAAGGGGTTTGAAATGGAGATCGATGAACCCATACCACAAATTGATAAAACTTTTGTGATCAATACAATGGCTATGACAAAAGGAAAATTAAGATTAATTTATATGTTGAAATTTGGAGTTTTGGAAAGGTTTATTTGACTACTCCATCAAATCTAGTGAAGGAGCCCAAAGAATAGATTTCATATTACACTCCTAGACGCCTCCATAGGTAAAGGATTCTGAAAGAATGCGAAGAATGGATGCTTCCCCTATTGAACTTTAATCCATAGAAGAAATTACACCATTACCTAAAAATATGAATGCCTTTTGGCCAAGTAATATAAGACAAATTTTCATAGATTACAAAGAAATTCAAATAGCAGCATTCTAAAAGTGTGCCAAATGTCAAGATTTTTGTAAGTGGAACTATTGGAGAGAACTCAAATATCTTTGAAAATGATAACTGAAATCCCTGTAAAATTCTACTCTTGAAGAGGATTCAGCAGGAGAACATTTGGGACTGCAGTAATTTGCATCAAATGACACTGATATTCTAATTTTAGGACTATCATTTCAATAAATGTAAAAAATTCTTAAACTATGCTAGAAAATGTCAGTATCTAAACATTTTCTACAATGTACTTTTTTGATCTACATGGAGATTTTAGTGTGACAAGACCCTTTTACGACCCTGTAGAGTTCCTAATCTCACTGCACTAACGGGAGTTTCTAGGCCCTGGGGGTATAATCCTTATATTCCTTATTTTCCCAAATAATTACTGTTGCCTGGTGACAAGTTGTTTTATTGGGAGTGTAGTGATTATAATTTGATAATTTATAATAACATTTTGTATTAGGAGATGATCATTGCTTAATTACAGTAGGGGTATACCAAAATATAGAGAAATCATGTTTCTTTTAATTAACCATGTCTTTATGTATTTTGACAATGTAGAGCATTACATCGAACATGTTGATGTGAAAAAGTAAAAATGCTACATCACATAATACATATCATCAAATAATAATTAATTAGTTATAATCCATTTAATCAATCAATTACTACACTGTATACAAGATCCCTAAGAGCAGTTACACTTTAGGGGGGGGGGGGGGGTTATTAACCTCTCACCCCCTTAGGAACTCTAGGGTAAGGTCTTCATCTCTAATGATTTTTCTTTTAACAATACTTGTTACATGGATCAAACCTGACCACAATATTTTCAACATCTAATTTCTAAGCTAAAAAGTCATGCATTCAATAAGAGGGACATCCAAGGGCGGCTATACCTGAAAGCGTAAAGGAGGACTGAAAGTATCGCAACAGATTTCGGACAGTCATATGTTGGATTTTGGCTATTTCTGAGGATTTGAGGAGGTTCATGTGTTCGGACAATGCATTTCCTCCAGGAAAAGCACTCATAGAGATGATAAAATAATTTCTATTTTGAGACAGGGAAGGTGCAAACAACCCACCCACATGCATCAATATGTTGTGTTTTGGCACACAGTTAACCCCTTTAAAGGAATAATGCATTCCATCAGGGGTTTTAAAGATGTCAAATATGGGTGTCCAAAATTAAGCTGAAAGCAATGGATCACATGAATTTTCCCTATGGGAAATAACAGGAAAATATTGTTTTCTGCTTCATCTAAAAGAAATTCATTATCCTTTTAATGGGTTAACTATGTCTCCAAACGCAACATACGCAAGAAAAATTGAAAAAGCAGGGATGAAAGGGGTTGAAAATCAGGACAACATTTCCGAAAACATGTGGGTGGATTGTTTGCACCGTCGCTGTCTCAAAGTCCAAACTATTTTATCATCTCTAAGAGTTCTTTTCCCATAGGTAATGCAATGGCCTAACATATGCACCTGCTTAAATCCTCAGAAAACAGACAAAATCCAACATATGACTGTTTGAAATCTGTTGCGATGCTTTTCGTGCTCCTTTGAGACCTGACATTTCTCAATTTTTCAAATATTGCACTTGTTTTAATTTTTAAACTTCCTTAAAATTCATCTTCAGTATGTATTACATCTTAGTTTCACACTCTAAAAATTCAGTTTCATCATAGAGGTATGGATGAAAAAGCTATAAAGGTCATCCATGGCTATACCTAACATTCGTAAAGGACGATTCTCGGTTTGGAGAACGAAGTTCATCAATCTAAATGAGCATTATCCCTGCTTCGGACAAATTTGATTTTTTTACATAATATAGAT